ATTTGACATCAAAATTCAAAACTTTCATTGTCTAATAAGCCCGATACTCAAGTTCTACCGAGAGGTGGCAAGTTTTCCCAAACAAGAGGCGATAGGGCGACATACCAATGGGTGTTTTGAAAGTGGTGCGGTAAGCCCATATTGCAACATCTAATTTCTTGGACCAAATTTTCTAGAGGCATTCACCATCAATTCAAGAATCATCTTCAACTCTCGATTCGAAATCTCAACTTGGCCACTAGTTTGGGAATGATAGAGATGGCCACACGATGCTTCACTTCATATTTGATCAATAGTGGGCCAAAGAGGCAATTACAAAAATGTTGATCTCCATCATTAATGATAGTTTGAATGGTGCCGTAGTGAGAAAAAATATTTTTTCTTTGAAAAGTTTACTACCATCGAGCATCATTAGTGGACAAAGACACTGCTTCTACCACTTTGACACATAATCAACCGCCATCAATATGTATTGATTTGAGAATGAAGAAGAAAAAAAGGCCCCATAAAATCAATACCCTACACTTAAAAAATCTCCACCTCCAATATATAATTCAAATGCATTTCATTTCGGTTGGAGATATTATTACTACGTTGGCATCTATCGCACTTGGAGACAAGAGTGTGAACATCTTTGAATAATGTGGGCCAATAGAAAGCGGATTGAAGTACCTTTGATGCGTTTTCATGGCACCAAAGTGACCACCATAGGGAGAAGAATGACATTGCTTAAGAATTTGCTCAATTTCATCATCTGACACACATCGCCTGAAGATTTGATTTGATTCCTGTTTGAATAACAAAGGATCTTCCCAAAAATAATGCTTAATGTCGGTGAAGAACCTCTTTCTTTGTTGGTAAGAGGAATTTGGAGGAGTGATGCCACTAGCAAGAAAATTCACATGGTTCGCATACCATGGTGTATGAGTGGCTTGTAGAAAATGCATGATTTGCAAGAATTGCTCATCGAGGAACACCTCATTTATCTTCCCATTATCTTCCACTTCCTCAACTTGCTCAAGCCTAGAAAAATTATCGGTAACAAAATCTTCGGTCTCCTTCTTCTCTCAAAATTTCAGTCAAACTCTTGTAGAAGAAGAACAAATCTAATCAACCGAGGTTGGCATCTTTCTTTGCTAACAAATACTTGAGGGCCGAGTGGTCGGTGTAAACAATCACCTTCCACCCAATGAGGTAAGATCGAAATTTATCAAATGCAAATACTACTGCAAGCATCTCTTTTTCAGTAGTAGCATAGTTCAATTCAGCATCAGTCAAGGTTTGAGTAACATAGTAGATGACATGCAAGATTTGATCTCTCCTTTGTCCTAAAACCACTCCAACAACATAATCACTTTCGTCGCACATAAGCTCGAAAAGAAGATCCCAATTTGGGCCTACAATAATAGGAGCCGTGATGAGTTTCTCTTTAAAAGTGTTCAAAGCATTGAGACATTCTTGAGAAAAATCAAATGGAGCGTTCTTCTCAAGTAAGAAGCAAAGTACCTTTGTAATTTTTAAGAAGTCCTTGATAAACCTCCTATAAAATTCGGCATGTCTAAAGAAGCTTCGTATACTTTTTATCGATGTTGGTAGAGGTAATTTTTCAGTTACTTGAATTTTGGCCTTATCAACCTTAATCCTCTTCTGTGAAATTCAGTGGCCAAGTACTATGCCTTCTTGAACCATGAAGTGGCATTTTTTCCAATCAAGCACTAAATTGGTTTCTTCACACCTTTTTAGTACTATCCCCAAGTTCCTCAAGCATTCGTCAAATAAGGCCCCAAAAATTAAGAAATCATCCATGAACATCTCGATACATTTATTTACCAAATCGAAAAAGATAGCCATCATGCACTTTTAGAAAGTTGTGGGTGCGTTACGAAGACCGAAGAGTATCATTCTATATGCAAATGTACTATATGGACAAGCGAAAGTAGTTTTCTCCTAATTCTTCGGGTCTATAGGAATTTGACTATATCCCAAATACCCGTCCAAAAAGCAATAATAAGAATACCCTGCCAACTATTCAAGCATTTGATCAATTAAAGGAAGATGAAAGTGATCCTTTTTAGCTTAATCTTGTGATAAACAATGCATACTTTCCAACCGGTTACGGGTCTAGTAGGTATAAGTTCATTGTCCTCATTTTCCACTATCGTGATACCTCCTTTCTTCAACACCACTTAAACGGGTCTCACTCATTCACTATCTGAAATCGAATAAATTATGCCCGCATCACGCCACTTTACCACCTCAGCTCTTACCACTTCTTTCATATTACGATTCAATCGCTTTTGATGCTCCACTGATGGTTTAAAATCATCCTTTATAAGGATTTTGTACATACATAGTGAATGACTAATTCCTCAAATATCTGCAATAGTCCAACCGAAGGCCTCATTGTGTTCCCTTAACACCCAAAGTAACTTCTCTTCCTCCAACTCACTAAGGAATTGGAAATGGTAACTAGAAGTGTAGATGGATCTCCCAAATAGGAATACCTCAAATAAGATGGAAAATGCTTTAATTAAAGTGTAGGTGTTTGTTGAAAGAGATGGTAGTGGTGGTGAAGAGTTCTTTTTTCAAATCCTCAAAGTATGGTGCCCTCTTATAAGAGCAAAAAGGTGTAGCTTCTAAATAACGTACTATGTGCTCAACTTCAAGATTCTCATCCTTGTGCATGCACAGTGTTGTTGCTGTTTGAGACAGCCTAATAAGCACAAGAAATAAAAATGAGGCAGAGGCCGACGATTAATTGGCTGAGGTACATGAAGAGGAAATTATACCTACCTCTACTTTTTAATTTATCATTTCAAAAATCAAATTTTAACTTAATTATTCCAAAAATCAGGTATATACTACATCCTACCCTACACGGCCTATCCTTTAACCCATTTAACCAAGTCACAATTCACATCACTACATCACAACTGCCTACTACCACTACTCCATTGACACTTCCACCAGTTTCGCTTGCCACCACTATTCGCTAAAAAGGCGCATACTGCAAGTGCACAGGGTCATGTTCAAGTAATAAAGTGAACTTTTTGACTCTGAATTGTCGATCCCTCGAAAAATGTATATTTTCAATTTCACAATTTTAATTAGTTTAATTTTAACAATGAAAACAAACATACAATATGGATTTTGATTTTGGAAAATAACTAAAAATCTACAACATAAGAAAATATAAAAATCTTGAGAATTTCAAAGGAAAACGTGGTTAAGATTCATGGTTTCACTTAATCATCGCCTAATTAATTTTTTTACATGTCAATTAATAAATTATCCATTTACAATATTAGACTCGATTTTTTTATTTTAATTAATTACCTTTCTCAAGTGAAATTACACTTGATTTAACCTTCTATATCTATATGTCGATTCAACCTAAATAATCTCATTAAATCTTTGTAAAAATAGTTCAATGGATCACCTAGGGTTAGGAGTATATCTATATCCTCTACACATACCTAGGGTTTATACTATTTGGTCTAAAATGTACAATCTTCTCTCGAACGATATATAAATCACTAAACATAATCATTCATTGGCCACATAAATTGAAAAAAAAAATACAATAGTAGAAACATAAGAAAATAAGTATTTAAACATTAAAAAGCAAATATTGAAATTAATCCAAGCTAGGTTAAGCTAATACCATAAATCCCAACACAAGAAATTAGCCCATATTATATATATGATAACGAAGGACGGTAATCATAACATTCATTACATATTTGGAGAAAAATTGAATTAAAAACAAAAGAAGAGATAGAACCCCTTTTGATTAATTTTTGAATATGATAAACCCTTGTTCTTTATTTTCCCCAAAACTTCTCCAACTCTTTGATTGAATCTCCTTTGTTGTGCTCTAATTTCCCAAAAAAATACAAAGAAAAATCAAAGGAAAAAGAAGAGAAAAAGAAAGAACAAAGAAGAAAGAAAACAAAAAGAAAAAGAAAGAAAAGAAAAAAATGAAAGAGAAGAAGAAGCTTAAAGAGAAAAAAGAGTATCCTCAAAAATTGGTTGAAAATGGCTTATGAAAGCCCTAAAAACGTATCCCGAAAATTGCCTAAAAAGCCCTTGAAATTTGGTAAAAAAAAAAACAAAAAAAACAAAAAATGGCCCCAGCCGAGAAGCCCCAAGCACGCCTTGAGACAATTTTAGCCTCGGTAAATCAAAGCGTCTTCCCACGCCCGAGCCATAATAAGCCTACGAGTGCGCGGGGGCTTTCTTCCTTTTCTTTGATCCAACTTAGCCCTCCATATAATTCACACCAATCCCCTTAACTTTGATTATATACAATCAGATCCTCAAATTTTGATTTTTATATCAATCATGCCCTTAATAATTTGCATCCAAAGTCTTCCAACTTTCCACACTTGTTCATTTTGGCCCCCAAATTCATAATTTTGCACAATTTTGGTTATTATCTCTTCCTTTTTGCTCTATTGCCTTGGATAATTTTTACCTACAAAAGCAATAATTACATAATTGTGAGTAGAAATTCACTCCTTTAATCAATGTTTTTAAACTTACTTCGATATTAATTAAGTGTGTAAAAATACACTTATCAGCCACCTCAATCCATCACCATAACCCACCTTCGCACTCAACTGCCTCAAAAAATAGATACCCTCTTCTCAAAAATATTTGCACCGTCACCCCCCGTCGTCATCACTTTCATCACCCCTGAACCCAGTTAATCATGTAATAGAGTTGAACATGGATGTAAAGATCTGGTCCGATGACCATGAAGATTCGAGACTGAGATCCAAATCCATCATAAAACGTCGTCGTCGCATAGCGTGGTTAATTTGGCAGTGATGAACAAAGCAACCCAACTTAACGTGAAGAATCGGTGAGAGAATTTAGCATCGTTGAACACCGTCAAGTGAATTGGAATGTGGCCAATTTGGGTGAGACATGAAAGGCGTTGTGGCAATGTCGAAAAGCTATCTCGTGTATACATGATATGTGATAGCGACATTCAATGCATGTTACGAAACATATTTCAAAGTATCAAATGATCACAACTCAAAACTACCCACACCCTCTTATAGGAGGTATCTCTAGGCATGACTCGATTCCAACTAGTAGTTGATATTCTACCTTAACACATTCAATCTTGTATCTCCAAAACAATAATCTTACCAAACAACCATTCAAATTGACACCAACTACAGTTGAAAATTCTATATCCACATGAAATATTGCACTCGTGCAACTTGCTTGGTTAAAATTGTTTTACAGAAAATATAATATATTCCAGAAGATTATTAGATTGTAATTAAGCTGCTGCCACAGTCTTAATTTTTTCGGTTGTCTCAGCGGCGGCTGCACCCACTTCAGTGCGGTGGTTATGACTTTCACCGTCGCTGGGAACCGCCATACTTCGTCGCTCTTTTCTTTCATCTTGTTTCATTTGTTGTTCTCTACATTCTTGACTACAAAATGCTTTATCACCCCTGCAAAAGATAGAGATCACAGTAATTTACTATTTAAGAAAAAATGAAAAATATAATAAATTAAAATTTATTCTGTATTTAAATAATGCAAAAATAAATTAATAGATCAATAATTGCAACGAATCCAAATTAGAATATTTCTAGATTATTCAATGAAAAACAATTCATTTTTGTCATATTCAAATTTCAATATCTACTTCTAGTGTTTACATACAATAAAACCATAAAAAATGTAGACTTTTATATGCATTATCTCTTGCAAAATATAAAAATAATAGAAAAGTCACTGTTTCATACTTCAGACAGTACAAAAAGGGTAACAACATTATTGTCGGAATGATCGAACATGAATGATTGCTCATAGACATCAGTAATCCAAGTTTCACTGCCACCAAATTATAAAAATTCTACGTGACAAATATTTAATAAAAAATATACGTCAAGTCACATACCAAGTGTACACTTGGCCGACTGAGTTGGTTTGGTTCAAATTAATTTTAAAGAAAGTGACAAACTTTTTTGTCTTCAAAACTAGTTTAGTTCTTAGTTTTTCCGGTCGAACTAGAAAGAGAAAAGAAGAGGTACCACCTATACATATATATGTCACGACCAGGTGCCAAACGACGATTACAGAGGCCGCAGGTTCTCAGGAAAGGAGCTGTTTCTGTATTGGAATCAAATGTTGAACTGATCCTGTTGTAGTATCTTGGTGATAAAATCATGGCCGTTGAAAGATGATCATACTCACTCACACGGCCTTGGAGACCCTCCACCTCCATAAATTCACTGCCGGCCATCGGATTTTGAGGATAAGGCGGCGGCGGCGGCGGCGTTGCCTCCGAAGTGGCCACATCAAAACTGATTCCTGTCATGCTCGTTGTCCTCCTAAAAGTAGGGCGTGCACCCTTTCCCGACATCATGTAAAACGAGAAATATACGAAAACGATGAACACTAGAAAAACAAAATTTGCATCTTGCGTATGTGTGACTGTGTGTTTTTTTTTTCTTTTTAGAAGGAAGGGTGAGAAATGGAATTGGAAGGCAGAGAGTGGAGGAGATAAACAGAATACGGAGGGGATGATAGTGAATCTGGGCCATTAGATGCTGTGCACAGATTGCCAGGTGTCCACTTTGTAGCATCATTTTCCAGTTTAATAATCAATTTTTTCTCTCTCTAGTTTGATTGGTTTGCTTTATCTTTCATTGAAGAATGTAATGATGATCCAAGTAATAAATTTCTAAGATTAATTTATATTTTTTAGTTGTTGATTCGATCTGGCCGAGTTTAATTTTTTTTTTTTATAATGAAAAATAGTCAATTATTTTAGGTCGAAATAGTATCTTATTATTGAATAATTGGCATTATATCAGTTTCATCCTTATTAAAGGCCAAGTCAACTCGACCAAGACAATTTTCTACTCCATCTGTAATTCAACCACCTGAACCTGAACTTGAATTTTATTCTTTAATTTCTTAAAAAATCATCCAAGTTTAAATTACAAATCCTTACGCCCCTATTTTTTACGGCTTAAACATTTAATAGAGATATAAGTCAAAATCAACAATTAATTTTAATAATATATTTAATAAAATTCACTACTTTTATCAATTTTTCAATCATATATTTTATCAACTATTATCAAAATTTATTAAAATTTAATTTTTTGATACACCAAATAGGATAGCAAATTTTATTAGTAAAAGAGTAATTTTAAAAATATGCCACTGTTTGTTTCCTATTATTTGCTCATTAAATAGAAAATATGACCGTTATTCATCACATCAAATCACTATATTTGACTTTTTATTTCTTGTGTGGGGTTCATATCGATTATATTTTTCATTCTCATTCTTATATTAATGTGGCTCAAACGAGGCCTCTTCTCTGTTCAAAACACTTTGCGTCAACATTTTTGACTGCGTGATTTGCGAAGTTGTCTGTTTATTTATTTATTTTTATTTTTTTCAGAGGGGGAAAAAAGAGCTATTGGTGAGATTTGGTGGCCACTGAGTCAGTGTGTAATTGGGCAGTGAATATTCCAATTTTGTGACGTTGGCTTGGGGATACAACTTTCCAAAGTTTGAGGGAAAGTAGGGCGAACTGAAATTCATGAAAGGATTTTGTTGTTTATACAGAATAAATTCAATAGAATGAGTGATTGAAATGACGTAGACGGAAAAATTGAATGAAAAAACTGATAGAATTTTAAATCGAGAAATGATAGAATGCTATATGATCTTTATGTCAACTTTAATGTACATGTAGCATAATTTTGAAAGGAAATAATACAATACCATGCAAATTAATACATTAGAATGTTAATATTTATTCATTAGAATTAGATTCAATATAATTAAATTTTAAATTAATCGTATAAACTCTTTATTTAATTTATTTTTTTTGCCCTTTTGATGTTTTCATTTGAACTATTTTGTGATGGATGGATGATGAAAGTTTATCTCTATTCATCAGAAGAATAACAAGAAAGCGTAACTAATTTAGGTAACATTACATGTCGCAAATTTTTCAGTCCAATATAT